GTAGTTTGTACAGGCTGTAAAAATGACAACGTTCATGTCCAAAGTGATTTCAATTTAGCCTAAGATGACACAAACTTGTCCAAAAATGATTGAAAAAAGTGTCCAAAATGAGTCAATTTGCCAAAATTGAGAGAAATTTGCACAAAATGTATTCAAAACCTGACCCAAACTGACCTCAAACTTGTTCAACATCACACGAACTTTAACATGAAAATGATCATGAGATGATAATAAACAACAAATCCAGTTTCTCATCATTATATGCTTTCTTAGTGTTTCCTTTAGATTTCAGATGATAAGTCTGCTTCATTTCTCCCTCCGTCAGTGGTCATCGAGCTGCCGGACTGGATGGGCCTCGGGGGGCTGCCGTGGCTCTTCACGGCTGTGCAGATGCACCTCCACTGGGGCAGCGGCGGGCCGAGTCACGGGGGCAGCGAACACACCATCAACGGGCTGAGCGCAGACGCAGAGGTACAAAAGCACCCAAATGGTAAAATCTGCATGAGGGGTTAAAGAGGTGACAAGTATCAAGCACAGATAACCTGTCAGTTGTCAATCAGAGCAGATTTCTGATCGTCAACAAGCACATGAGGTTAAGAAGGATAGGAACCGAGCACGTTATAGAAAATTCAGCTTTTAAAATGAACTTTGAAGTAAGTGAGATAGCTTTATAAACAAAAATTTACAGTCAATTATAAATGGAGCTTTTTTTGCAGTGTAACAATGACACACTGCAAAGTTTGGGTTTCACACAATGCTGTGAATGTGTGATTCACTAAACTATACTCCAGCAGATTTATTGTGTATGAATCCGCAGCTGAAAATAGTCCTCAACAACTTCACTGTCTATCCTTGTTTTAGTAACGTTTGCAAGAAACCAAACTGCTCAGCTGGTTCCTAAAAAGCCTAAAATAAGTATTTGTGACCTGAATAGCTGCCTGAAGCTTAATAGAAAAAAAAAACAATGATTACTGTAATTTCTGGACTATTGAGCACCTGAATGTCAGCTGCACCCACTGACTTTAAAAAGAAAGCAAGTTTTGTACATATACAGGCCGCACTTGTCTATAAGCTGCAGGTGTCCACGTTGGAACATGAGATATTTACACAGAAAGATTTCTTAAATTTTTAATTAAATACGTACCGGGACACAAATTTGTAAATGCTTTTTTTTCCCGAACAGTGCCTACAGCAGCCTACCAGGAAAAGTCATTGATCGCTATCTTCATCTTCCTCCTGCACTAAAACCACTGAAGTCTTCAGTGTTGGAGTTGAACAGCCTCAGAATTCTTTCGTCACACACGTCCTCAGTCTCTCTTCGTTGTCGCTCTCGATGTCCCTTATGTCTCGGGGCAAATTCCTAAAACTCGTAAAAATCCATAAATTAGCCGCATCGTTCAAAGTATGTGAAAAAAGTAGCGGCTTATAGTCTGGGATTTACGGTACAGTCATTTTTCCTGCAAAAGGACCAAATAATCTTTGCTTCCAGCTTCTCAAATACGTCGCCTTGTTGAAACTGAACATCTAAAGTGAATTAAAAAATGAGACTGAAGATGTCATTGTGGTCATTTTGTACCATTTTTAACTTGATTAATCAATTAATTGACAAAATAATGACCCGATTATTACGTTATCGAAATAATCAACACGGTAAACATCATCAGATCACCGCAGCCACCATGTTCCACGTTACAGAAATAATGTATATAGAGCGTTTATGCGTTGACAGGTCTCGATAACATCTTGAAAATGTTTTCTGACTGTTGCATTGAGAATATAACCGGTTCTTTCTGGTTTTATAAAAGAATGTTCTATAATGTGTTCCTCAACAACACCCCTGAAACGTCCTCAGAACACTACCTTTGTTAATATGTCACAGTACGGGAACGTTTAATAAAAATCACCTGAAACCTCGGAAACATGTTTTGAATGTTGGTTTGAGAACGTTCCTTCTTCGTTATCATTTAGCATCATCTGCGTTCCTGACGACATCCTTTGAAATAGGAACACTATTGGAAATTAAAGCGTTAATTTTTTTTTTTTTAAATTCTGTTCAACCACAATTCAAAAGTGATGTCTTATTTCACTAAATTATAATTTAGCAATTTTTAAAAAATTTATTATTACTTTTTTCAGTTTTTAGTTATTTGAGTGACTGTTGTGAATTTTGCCTTTTCTTTAATGGAAGTGGATGAATACATTTGAGGACGACTGTATCTAATGTTAGATCTGCCAGCTGGAATTATAGCGTTTTTTTTCAAAATAAAAGTCTTCTGCCTCTAACAGAGCGGCTCCTTCAGGGCTGCAATTCAAGAGGTGTGAGGGGGATTTAAGTAGAGACTGAAATCTCACAGAGCTGATACACAAACTAGATGAAGACGAGCACAAATAAAGTTAAAAAGAAAAAAAAGAAAAAAGTTGACACGCATGAGTGGCCGTATTACATAATGAATGAAGCGAATGAAAAAGCGCTTCCTGCTCTGAGAGTGTGCACGCAGTCTTTCCTCTGTTTATCTCCCTCCAACTCTTTTTAACCGTTAGCTGTCAGGATTTAAAGCCTCTTCCTCCCCTTCATCGGTGTGAATCCAGAATCCTCCTCTTCCTCCCTGCAGCTCCACGTGGTTCACTACAACTCCGAGCTTTACCCGAACCTGTCAGCAGCCATGACGCACCGAGACGGTTTGGCCGTTTTAGGGATTCTCATTGTGGTAAAGAAACGAGAAAACCAATGAATGACTGTATTTTGAGAAGTGCGAGTGACATTTGGGCCTGAGTTTTGGTTTCCCAGACAGGTGAGGAGACGAACCAGGCGTTCAACAGCATCCTCAACTACCTGAGTCGCATCAGACACGCAGGTATGTCCGTTTAGAAAAGAACTACAGCTAAAGTCGCTGGAAAATTTAGATTTAAGGTCAATTTTTATGTGACCGACTGGCTTCTTCTGGCTGGAAATTACATAAGCAAGTGACAAAACGCAGTTAAACTTTTTGTTTGAGATCATAATGATGAATTCGAACTATTTCTATGTTCTCAGTAATCAAAGTCTTGGGATTTTGTTCCTCTTTGTGGTAAAAGTCAACATTAACACCCTTAATTAATGTCTTGCTATGTTTTGTTGCTCATTTATGTCACTTCCACCCAGAAGAAACCAGTCAGTCAAATAAAAATTGACTATAAATCAAAGTTTTGAGCTTTTTTTCTCCTTATCTGTGCTGCTGCAACCTCTCAGAGGCTTTCCTTCCTCCTCATCAGACCAGAGAGCCTTCATCCCGGCCTTTGACGTCCAGTCGCTGCTTCCTAAAGATCTCGGACGCTACTACCGGTACAACGGATCGCTGACAACGCCTCCCTGCTACCAGAGCGTCTTCTGGACTGTCTTCCACGAAAGGGTTCAAATCTCAAAAGCACAGGTCTGGTTGAAACGCCGGCACACGACCAACTCGTGTTCGTCAACACTCTGAATCCCCAAACCTGCTGGAAGCTCTGAAAGGCATCTTATTTTTAAGATTTTCAGTTTTCCGATGGTCCTTGAACTAATCTTTTTGTGATATTCGTCAGGAAAATTCAACCTAAAAACAAGATATTTGATCAAAATTACTTTATGTGATATGTTTCATTTAGGAAATGCTTAGGAGAGAGTTTTTAGAGAGTTTTTAGGTTGAACTGCAGGCAGTGTTTCAGAAAGGAGAAGACAAGAGAGACTGAGAGGAAGATAAAGCAAACTGTCTTTATTTGTGAGACGATGTGCAGCACAGGACTGCACTCCATACACTGAATTGAATTGAATTGATTTCTTTTGTGACACTTACTGTCCGTCATCTTTCCGTCTATCAGCGGGGCAAAAACTTGCTATCGGCTTTAATTTAGTGTTATTTACTAAAACTGCTCCCGTCTCGTCATTTCTCCACTGCAGCTGCTCAAGCTGGAGACAATACTTTACTCGAGTAAAGCCGAAGAAGCCGACAGGATGCTGCTGCAGGACAACTACCGAGCAACGCAGCCGCTCAACCACAGGGTGGTCTTCGCCTCCTTCTCTGCAGGTTAGACGACGTACACACCATGAAAAACACTCTTAATTTACTAAATGAAAGACGAGACCATGCGGCATTAAGAGTTAAACATGCTTTAAATCCACACAGACTGCTGCGGATGAGTAGTTGCTATCCACTGATGCACAGCAGGTTTTACTGGCGTATTTGGTGCATAGACGCTACCTCTGACCTTGAGTCTTGTCCTTGTAGATTAGTTGCTGCACAGAAATGTCATGTTAACATGGACGGCACACGCTTCTCACTTGTGGATACGGCCAAAATTATTTCATATGGAGTGCTGCATGCTCGCGACGGTGAAATTTCATCCTCTGCCCAAATCCGCGAGGAACAGCTTGGACCCTTTAGCGTATGTTCACCAGAACAGATGCGTGATAAAGACAGACTTACAGTCCTCGTTAACAGAGTTGTAATTGAAGTAGTCACAGCAGGACATTGGAGGAGCTTTCATTCGCACATGCTTTCCATCCCAAACTAAAATCTCCAGATATCTTGCGTTACGTCCACCCACTGCAACTCGACTACTTTCTGGAGAGAACCATGTTTGCGTCCACTTTCAAAGTTTAGTTTCTGTGTGCACACAGATGCAGAACGCTGTAACTACTTGTCCTTTTAGAGTTGTTGCATGGACGCAAATTTTTGGGGGCGTGCTACAGGTTTCCATCTGGGGTATATTTAACCGAGCTTTAATTCGTACATACTTTCCGTCGACGTAGCGTAAACCCAAACCAAAAGTGCTACGTCCACCCACTGTAACTCGACTACTTTTTGGCCCTCATGGAAGGTCATTTCTACATATTCTATAGATCCATGCAAACTATTTGTCCTTTTAGAGTAGTTGCTACATGCTACAGGTTTTCATCTGTCGAGGTAGCTGTTAGACCCAGTTCTTTTGTTGAAACAGCTCCAAGGAATAGTCAGAGAAAAGTTCAGGTCTCAGGTTAAACAGTTTATTCAGGTCACAGGTAAAGTTTTACAGCGCTGGATTCAGAGGGACAGAGAGTGCTCTCATGTCCAGCTGAACTGAGATTTTTCGGTTCCAGGTTACAGATATCTTCTTGGGCTGGGCCTGCCCCGAACATAGATAAGATTTGTACACTCCCAAGATTAATTGGCCAGTTACCAATGACGTGGACAAGCATACTTCTTCTGTGCTCTGTCCACATCTTTGACATTTAGTAAGCAACGTGTGTGGATGTTGTTGGTACGGCGTGTAGCTAAAGTAGCAATCGTATCTAATAGAAAAGAAGAATTTCTGCTGTCTCCAAGTGTGCAAACCGGTTCTCACCAGACACATTATCTTCAAGGACATAAGCTCAGCACAAAATACAAACTCAGAATACATAATAACTTGAAACTTAATTAATTATAAGAACCATAGGAATCATGGAAAAATACAGACTCAGAACACATAATAGCTTGAATCATACTTAATTATAACATAGCTTTAATTCGTACATGCTTTCCATCAAAACCCAAACTAAAATCTCCAGATATCCTGCGCTACGTCCACCCACTGTAACTGGACACGCCTCAGAAACAATCACTGAAATGGTGCTTCAGCTCAGCCTGTAACCAGCTGCTGTATCCTGTAAAAAGTAGAAAATCACAGCCTTTTGGAAACATCAACAGGGTGTTCACTTAAAGAGGCAGTGCAACCGTTGTGTTGCAGACCGACACATAACTCCTGTAGCGTGGAGAGAATTGTTTCAAAGTTTGGTTTCTCTGTGCACACAGATGCAGAAAGCATGATATGGCTCTCATACTTGTGCCTAGCCCACTTCGGAGGTCATGTCTACATATTCCATAGATGCATGCACACTATTTGTTTGGGCGGCATGCTACAGGTTTCCAGCTGGAGGCTTTAATTCTTTCATGCTTTCCATCGACAAAGCTAAACATAGCTGTGAATTCTCCAGATATCCTGTGCTCGACACGCCTCATGCTGGTTTGCAGACTGCAGAATCTGCAAAGGAAATGCACAATCAGTATAGTAATCAGTATAGTCCTTTCAAATGGCACAAATGTGGAGTTGTGAAGGGTCACAGCCCGTCAACACATCCACGCTGCAGGGATTTACCACCAACTAGCCGCTCATAATGCGAACCCTCACAACAAGTCAGCGTGAGGCCATGCCCACCCGAAGCTCGCAATTAGTGCAACGCATGCAGAGAGCGAAAAGTGGAATGTGGAGAGAATTTACCAGCGACTCTGACAAAGAAAGAGTCTTAGGAAAAGGTAGCGTTAGAGAGAAAAGGAAGGAGGGAGAAGAAACACTGGGAAAGTTGTGGAAAACCCAGAGAGAGCTGTGTTTGTTTGTGAGCTGATTAGAGAAAAAGGATTTGCAAAAAAAATCTAAACACTGATCCCATTGTTGTCACAAGAGTCTAACTGAGAAAAGGGGAGAGGAAAAAAGAGACAGAGCGACGTGAAAGAGGGAGACAGAGTGGTGGCCAAAGACAAAGGAGAAAGAATTTGTGTGAAGTGCTCATTGTAGGGAGTGACTGAACTGGAAGCTCTGTGATATCAGCAGCTTCAAACTGTTTCAAAGGGCAGAGCAGCAGATTGTCCTGAGATAAACCGACCAATCACACTCTCCCAAATGTGTGACAGAAAAATCTGATGTTTTCCTAATAATATACAGTCGGGACTCGATAATCCGACCCTTAATAATCCTAAACCTTGCTATCCGACAGGTTTCCATAACACACCGACAGCCTTGGATTCTGACTCCAACATGACATTTTATGTCACCAATCAGGAAAATGACGTATTATCTGACTGAACAATCCCACATATTGGCTACGTTCAGACTGCAGGACTTAATGCTCAATTCTGATTTTTTGGTGATATCCAATTTTTTTGTGAGTTCATTCACATTTCCAGTTAAATGCGACTTGTATGTGACCTGCTGTGTTAACTTCATACGACCCAAAAGTGTCCCGCATGCGCAGAAGGGGACACGACAACATCACACACAGCGAGTGTGCTCAGTGTTTACGGAAGTAAACATGGATGGTAACGGTGGAGCGTATCTGCCACTCCCTCACCGCCGCTGATGCTGGAAACAGAAGTGTGAGCGCTAACTAAACTAGCATCAGCAGCCAAGTACTGCCTGTGTGTTCTGGACACTTCCACCCCGTCAGAGCGCTGCCCCGGGGTGGACGTGTCCCCCGACCGCTCCGAATATTCTGATATTCATCATTAATTGGGCCCATAAAGTGCTGTTGGGACCAGCCCTACTAGTTATTATCACAACTATAAACAATAAATATTAACAACTAATGAGCCTTCCAGCATCAAGCCCTCCTTCTATCTTGACCTCCGTCTTGACAATCCAACAGCCTTGCTATCTGACATGAAAGAAGGTTTTACATTTAGTGTCGGATTATCGAATCACAACTGTACTCTGTATTTTGCAGAATCGGGGAAGGAGTTCTCCTCTGGTGAGTTGTTTCCATGCATGGAATAATGCCATTTCTTTAAATGATTTAGCATCTTTGGAGGTTTTTGTATCTGCGTTTTTTCCTGCAGGTGAAGTCACGGCCATCGTGATCGGGGTGATGTGCGGCTGCGTGGGCCTGGCGGTGATCATTCGCTTCATCGTGAAGACAATACGGTACGAAGTTTTGGTTTCTTTTTTTCTCACAGAGATACATCCTGGCTGCCGGTCTGCCGCTGCTCTGGTTCGACCGGATGATCGGTGGCATCCCCGTGGAAGAGTCCGGCCTTTCCTCACTCTGTCTCCTTTCTCTCAGCAGATTTTTTAAACTCCTCCACCGTGAAACAGTCGCGGTAAACAGGTGGCTTACCTGATCTCAGTACTGACCAGGACGCTCAGCCTGCACTGACTTTTATCCCGGTGCTTCATGGTTGTCCTTCGACGCAGATCTTGAATCAGTTTCTTGATTTTAAAAATAAGGGTGGGAAATAAAGTATAATTTGAAACACCAGGAAAGAGCTGAAGAGTTCCAACAGTATTTAGCACACTGATAAACACGACGCTGGCATGAATTGGAGCCGAACGAACACAGAGGATGCTGTCAAAAGAAGCACCAGATAAATGTTTGAGGTGATCTGAAAAGGGTTTCTGTACTCGTGAGTTTATTTTTTGGTTTAAAAAGTCAAATTTTTTAACCCTCTGAACTCCGAAACCCACCACCAGGTTTAAAAATCAAGTTTTCTTTAAAAATAATCACTAAACTTAAACAATTTACGAGCCAGAATCTATAAAAACAGAAAGAATCATCAGATTTTCCGCCTACTGACGGTGCTAGAACTAATTATGTTTGATGTCGGTCAGGAAAATTAATCAAATATTTCATTAAACTCATTTTTTTTACACATTCTCATAAAAATTTGCCAAAAGTAAATTGATTGCACTAATTAGATTCTGTAAAAAACAAACAATTCTGCACAGCTCAGCACAACTGTGAAGCCACGACGGACTCATCTGTGACCAGCAGTCATGTGACAAAAATTCAGAGAGTTGAAATGCAGGCAGTGTTTCCTCAGAGAGACTGAGAGGAAAATCCAACCTACTGGATCAATAAATAAATGCAGCATGGATCAGAACCAGAGAACAGAGGAGCCAGTTGTTGGAGATCCATTCAGCTGATGGTGGAGCATCTTTCTGCAGCTTTTATCCAGAGTAGTGTTTGCACAGGCTGTAAAAATGACAACATTCATGACCAAAGTGACTTAAATTTAGCCTAAAATGACACAAACTTGTCCAAAATGATTGTAAAAAGTGTGAGTATCCTTACCTATATCCTTCTGTTAACGGCTCCTTAAGGATATAAGTATCTGGAACTCCCAACTAGTCAGTCAGAACTGATGAAGCCTCTTGGATGAGAGGTGGAACGTCTTCAAGGAACTGAAGTAAGTCCAGTTGCTACGATTAATCTACGAGAATAAGTTGATAGAAAGGGACACAACAAGGTGCAAAACATATAAAAGCAGCCAACTGTTGCAGCTGTTAAATATCATCTTTTATACTTCAGATATAACTGCTGCTGTATTCAGGTATCAGACCTCCAGTGTTGCTCGGGCTCCTACTGAAATGTCAGCGAGTGTTTAATCCTCTTGTTATGTTTCACCATAAAAGGCTAAAGATCAGCGCCGAGGATAATCGGACCCCCTGACCTCAGTAACGTGTTTCCCAATTATCGTTTCGTCTCATAATCACCTCCGATTAACGGAAGCATGCGGAGGGTTTTCTCCCGCCAGGAAGAGATTTAACCGCTCTGCTGCTTTGATTAACGGATCCCATTTATGGTCTGGTCTACGCCCATCAGCCACAACATTAAAACCAGCGGCGTGGTATCGTTTCAGTCTCCATTTAGGTCTGAATTCCAGCACTTTAAGATCTGGAAGCTGCGAGGTGGAACCATCCTACAGATACTCAAGAGTTTGGAGGCTGAGTTTTGTCCTTAAAACATTTCTGAGAAAAAGTTGCCTTTGCATTGCATGAAGTTGATGCAGATGGAAGGTTAACTTAGAGTGCAACAAAACGAATAGAAGTGATTGGGTGCAACTCCAGTTCAATGACGGAAGCAGAACAATTTGTTTGTTAGAAGAAGAAGACAAAAAAAAAAAGGTGTTTCTTGACTTCTCTTAGTTAAACCACTCAGTGTCAAAGGTGCCTTCCTTGCATTAGGAACCTTTATTCTCCCCTAAGTTTGTCTTTTTTGACGCCCATGCGCTCTCACTTGCAAAGTTCATAAGGGCAGCGTTTCGGTGCCAGATCTTCATCAGGTAAAAAAAAAAGTAAAGACCCCTGTTCTTGCAGTGGGAACTTGCACAAAAGTTTAAAACTGGCCAATGTTTGCAGTGCTGCAGAGAGGTTGAGGCGTCAAAATGACATCCACGTTAACATAGAAGTCGAGGTTTCCCAGCAGAACGTCCTCCAGAGAGTCACACTGTCATCTACTCACCTGGAAGAAAGACAGAAAAGAAACTGATCGAACCAGGACACCTCCCTCTGTCGCGCTACCGTCCAGTTTCGGTGGTCGTCCTAGGAGGTTTTTGTGATGCACTTGCAGCATTTGTTCTGACTTTATTAAGGTTTGTGCTACTTTTGTTGTGTATCAGCGACTTCTGAACCAACACCTGCTGTTTTGGAGATGCTCCCAAGCCAGTTTTTCGGTCACAGATCCTCATTTTTCCTGCTTCCAACTCGATGCGATAAGATACCGTAAATTCCGGACTATGGAGGCACCTGAATATAAGACGCACCTGCTAACTTTGAAAAGAAAACAAGATTTGTACATACACAGGCCGCACTTGTCTACAAGGTTCATAACATGAGATGTTTACACAGAAAGATTTTTTTAAACTTTTAATCAGATACGTACCGTAGATGCTTTTTTTCTGAGTGGTGCCTGTAACACGACTGGTTAAGAAAATAAAAACTACAGCAGCCTACCAGGAAAAGTCATTGATCGCTATCTTCAACTTGCTCCTGCACTAAAACCACTAAAGTCGTCTTCTTCAGTGTCGGACTTGAACAGCCTCAGAATTTCTTTGTCACTTCTTTAGTCTCTCTGTTGTTGTCGCTCTCAGTGTCACTTTGGTCTCGAGGCAAATTCGTAAAAATCCATAAATTATCTGCATCGTTGTTTAAGCCGCAGAGTTCAAAGCATGTGGAAAAAGTAGCAGCTTATAGTCCGGAATTTACAGTAATCCAGGTTTTCCCTTCACCCGTCAGCGGGTTTGACGTTGTGGCTGATGTCTGTGTGCAGCTCACACCTCCTGATCGCAACGTTGTGATGGTGCAACCTTCTCTCACGCTTTGCTCAATCTTCAGCTTGTTTTAAAATTTCAATTATGATAATTTCTCTGTGTGTTCCTTCGTTACTTTTCCTAATGTCAGTCAGGAGCGTGCACTTATTTTGAAATGTCACCACCGCTTCCTGATGAAGCCGGAGTGAGATTTCAAAGTACTTGCGCTCTGAAGTGTGTTGATTTTCCGTCTGTCATGGTTGTGATCGTGTCCTGTGATCTCGCGGCAGCTCTACCTCTAGCTGGGACGTCCTGCCCAGTAACCGGCCCGCTCCGATGCCAAGGTTCAAGAATCATGACCTCCGACCCCCCACAGTTAGATCCCCTTTAACCTCCGGTTCGCCGTGACTCACCTTAACACCTCTTAGATCCTCCCGCTTAAAGAAATTCCTCAGCACTGTATGTCTGGAGTAGTTATGAAATTCCCCGAGAAAGTCTTTAACATCTGAATAATCCTTTAATCCCAGGTGTTTGTCAGCGAGGCTCATGTTCACTGGATGGTTCTGCTCCTTTTCAAAGCTGTAAATTTACTTTTAGTGCTGATATCTCCTGACAACGGATTCAGAATTTGATTTCATGACCGCAAAATGAGTTCTCCTTGTTTATGAGGAAGAGAGAAAAACTTGAATTTAAACTCTTTTGGAAAGAATTTATGATTCTAGAAAGCATCGAGGTGAAACTATAGAGAACTGAATCTGCACAGAAACTAAAAAATAATTTTAAAAACAGCAGAGAAAAGCCGTTTGGAACCTTCCTAACTTTGGCAAAGCCATCGAAAAACAGGTTTTAAGCTGGATACGGAGATTTGTGCTGCCGATTTAAAAGATCAGACTAATTACTTTCCTCGCTTTCTGGAAGAACTTTATTGGGTTTTTTTTGCTTGTTTTGGTCGACATAATCCTCTCTGCAGCTGAAATATTCCCAAAAAGCGGATTTATTTTTGCAGCCAGATCTTCTTTGTTTCGCTGCACATGTGGAGGCTGCATGTCGACAAACTCTGCGTCTTTTAAGATGCAAAAATTGGAGTAAAGGATGTTTTATCAGGTAGTTCTGAGAAAGTTCTGCAAAGTTCTAGTGTTTTTATTGCCCATTACAATAAGCCTTTATTNGGCGTGGACAAGCATACTTCTTCTGCGCTCTGTCCACGTCCTTGACATTTAGTAAGCAACGTGTGTGGATGTTGTTGGTACGGCGTGTAGCTAAAGTAGCAATCGTATCTAATAGAAAAGAAGAATTTCTGCTGTCTCCAAGTGTGCAAACCGGTTCTCACCGGACACATTATCTTCGAGGACATAAGCTCAGCACAAAATACAAACTCAGAATACATAATAACTTGAAACTTAATTAATTATAAGAACCATAGGAATCATGGAAAAATACAGACTCAGAACACATAATAGCTTGAATCATACTTAATTATAACATAGCTTTAATTTGTACATGCTTTCCATCAAAACCCAAACTAAAATCTCCAGATATCCTGCGCTACGTCCACCCACTGTAACTGGACACGCCTCAGAAACAATCACTGAAATGGTGCTTCAGCTCAGTCTGTAACCAGCTGCTGTATCCTGTAAAAAGTAGAAAATCACAGCCTTTTGGAAACATCAACAGGGTGTTCACTTAAAGAGGCAGTGCAACCGTTGTGTTGCAGACCGACACATAACTCCTGTAGCGTGGAGAGAATTGTTTCAAAGTTTGGTTTCTCTGTGCACACAGATGCAGAAAGCATGATATGGCTCTCATACTTGTGCCTAGCCCACTTCGGAGGTCATGTCTACATATTCCATAGATGCATGCACACTATTTGTTTGGGCGGCATGCTACAGGTTTCCAGCTGGAGGCTTTAATTCTTTCATGCTTTCCATCGACAAAGCTAAACATAGCTGTGAATTCTCCAGATATCCTGTGCTCGACACGCCTCATGCTGGTTTGCAGACTGCAGAATCTGCAAAGGAAATGCACAATCAGTATAGTAATCAGTATAGTCCTTTCAAATGGCACAAATGTGGAGTTGTGAAGGGTCACAGCCCGTCAACACATCCACGCTGCAGGGATTTACCACCAACTAGCCGCTCATAATGCGAACCCCCACAACAAGCCAGCGTGAGGCCATGCCCACCCGAAGCTCGCAATTAGTGCAACGCATGCAGAGAGCGAAAAGTGGAATGTGGAAAGAATTTACCAGCGACTCTGACAAAGAAAGAGTCTTAGGAAAAGGTAGCGTTAGAGAGAAAAGGAAGGAGGGAAAAGAAACACTGGGAAAGTTGTGGAAAACCCAGAGAGAGCTGTGTTTGTTTGTGAGCTGATTAGAGAAAAAGGATTTGCAAAAAAAATCTAAACACTGATCCCATTGTTGTCACAAGAGTCTAACTGAGAAAAGGGGAGAGGAAAAAAAGAGACAGAGCGACGTGAAAGAGGGAGACAGAGTGGTGGCCAAAGACAAAGGAGAAAGAATTTGTGTGAAGTGCTCATTGTAGGGAGTGACTGAACTGGAAGCTCTGTGATATCAGCAGCTTCAAACTGTTTCAAAGGGCAGAGCAGCAGATTGTCCTGAGATAAACCGACCAATCACACTCTCCCAAATGTGTGACAGAAAAATCTGATGTTTTCCTAATAATATACAGTCGGGACTCGATAATCCGACCCTTAATAATCCTAAACCTTGCTATCCGACAGGTTTCCATAACACACCGACAGCCTTGGATTCTGACTCCAACATGACATTTTATGTCACCAATCAGGAAAATGACGTATTATCTGACTGAACAATCCCACATATTGGCTACGTTCAGACTGCAGGACTTAATGCTCAATTCTGATTTTTTGGTGATATCCAATTTTTTTGTGAGTTCATTCACATTTCCAGTTAAATGCGACTTGTATGTGATCTGCTGTGTGAACTTCATACGACCAAAAAGTGTCCCGCATGCGCAGAAGGGGACACGACAACATCACACACAGCGAGTGTGCTCAGTGTTTACGGAAGTAAACATGGATGGTAACGGTGGAGCGTATCTGCCACTCCCTCACCGCCGCTGATGCTGGAAACAGAAGTGTGAGCGCTAACTAAACTAGCATCAGCAGCCAAGTACTGCCTGTGTGTTCTGGACACTTCCACCCCGTCAGAGCGCTGCCCCGGGGTGGACGTGTCCCCCGACCGCTCCGAATATTCTGATATTCATCATTAATTGGGCCCATAAAGTGCTGTTGGGACCAGCCCTACTAGTTATTATCACAACTATAAACAATAAATATTAACAACTAATGAGCCTTCCAGCATCAAGCCCTCCTTCTATCTTGACCTCCGTCTTGACAATCCAACAGCCTTGCTATCTGACATGAAAGAAGGTTTTACATTTAGTGTCGGATTATCGAATCACAACTGTACTCTGTATTTTGCAGAATCGGGGAAGGAGTTCTCCTCTGGTGAGTTGTTTCCATGCATGGAATAATGCCATTTCTTTAAATGATTTAGCATCTTTGGAGGTTTTTGTATCTGCGTTTTTTCCTGCAGGTGAAGTCACGGCCATCGTGATCGGGGTGATGTGCGGCTGCGTGGGCCTGGCGGTGATCATTCGCTTCATCGTGAAGACAATACGGTACGAAGTTTTGGTTTCTTTTTTTCTCACAGAGATACATCCTGGCTGCCGGTCTGCCGCTGCTCTGGTTCGACCGGATGATCGGTGGCATCCCCGTGGAAGAGTCCGGCCTTTCCTCACTCTGTCTCCTTTCTCTCAGCAGATTTTTTAAACTCCTCCACCGTGAAACAGTCGCGGTAAACAGGTGGCTTACCTGATCTCAGTACTGACCAGGACGCTCAGCCTGCACTGACTTTTATCCCGGTGCTTCATGGTTGTCCTTCGACGCAGATCTTGAATCAGTTTCTTGATTTTAAAAATAAGGGTGGGAAATAAAGTATAATTTGAAACACCAGGAAAGAGCTGAAGAGTTCCAACAGTATTTAGCACACTGATAAACACGACGCTGGCATGAATTGGAGCCGAACGAACACAGAGGATGCTGTCAAAAGAAGCACCAGATAAATGTTTGAGGTGATCTGAAAAGGGTTTCTGTACTCGTGAGTTTATTTTTTGGTTTAAAAAGTCAAATTTTTTAACCCTCTGAACTCCGAAACCCACCACCAGGTTTAAAAATCAAGTTTTCTTTAAAAATAATCACTAAACTTAAACAATTTACGAGCCAGAATCTATAAAAACAGAAAGAATCATCAGATTTTCCGCCTACTGACGGTGCTAGAACTAATTATGTTTGATGTCGGTCAGGAAAATTAATCAAATATTTCATTAAATTCATTTTTTTTTTACACATTCTCATAAAAATTTGCCAAAAGTAAATTGATTGCACTAATTAGATTCTGTGAAAAACAAACAATTCTGCACTGCTCAGCACAACTGTGAAGCCATGATGGACTCATCTGTGACCAGCAGTCATGTGACAAAAATTCAGAGAGTTGAAAGGCAGGCAGTGTTTCCTCAGAGAGACTGAGAGGAAAATCCAACCTACTGGATCAATAAATAAATGCAGCATGGATCAGAACCAGAGAACAGAGGAGCCAGTTGTTGGAGATACATTCAGCTGATGGTGGAGCATCTTTCTGCAGTTTTTATCCAGAGTAGTGTTTGCACAGGCTGTAAAAACGACAACATTCATGGCCAAAGTGACTTAAATTTAGCCTAAAATGACACGAACTTGACCAAAATGATTGTAAAAAGTGTGAGTATCCTTACCTATATCCTTCTGTTAACGGCTCCTTAAGGATATAAGTATCTGGAACTCCCAACTAGTCAGTCAGAACTGATGAAGCCTCTTGGATGAGAGGTGGAACGTCTTCAAGGAACTGAAGTAAGTCCAGTTGCTACGATTAATCTACGAGAATAAGTTGATAGAAAGGGACACAACAAGGTGCAAAACATATAAAAGCAGCCAACTGTTGCAGCTGTTAAATATCATCTTTTATACTTCAGATATAACTGCTGCTGTATTCAGGTATCAGACCTCCAGTGTTGCTCGGGCTCCTACTGAAATGTCAGCGAGTGTTTAATCCTCTTGTTATGTTTCACCATAAAAGGCTAAAGATCAGCGCCGAGGATAATCGGACCCCCTGACCTCAGTAACGTGTTTCCCAATTATCGTTTCGTCTCATAATCACCTCCGATTAACGGAAGCATGCGGAGGGTTTTCTCCCGCCAGGAAGAGATTTAACCGCTCTGCTGCTTTGATTAACGGATCCCATTTATGGTCTGGTCTACGCCCATCAGCCACAACATTAAAACCAGCGGCGTGGTATCGTTTCAGTCTCCATTTAGGTCTGAATTCCAGCACTTTAAGATCTGGAAGCTGCGAGGTGGAACCATCCTACAGATACTCAAGAGTTTGGAGGCTGAGTTTTGTCCTTAAAACATTTCTGAGAAAAAGTTGCCTTTGCATTGCATGAAGTTGATGCAGATGGAAGGTTAACTTAGAGTGCAACAAAACGAATAGAAGTGATTGGGTGCAACTCCAGTTCAATGACGGAAGCAGAACAATTTGTTTGTTAGAAGAAGAAGACAAAAAAAAAAAGGTGTTTCTTGACTTCTCTTAGTTAAACCACTCAGTGTCAAAGGTGCCTTCCTTGCATTAGGAACCTTTATTCTCCCCTAAGTTTGTCTTTTTTGACGCCCATGCGCTCTCACTTGCAAAGTTCATAAGGGCAGCGTTTCGGTGCCAGATCTTCATCAGGTAAAAAAAAAAGTAAAGACCCCTGTTCTTGCAGTGGGAACTTGCACAAAAGTTTAAAACTGGCCAATGTTTGCAGTGCTGCAGAGAGGTTGAGGCGTCAAAATGACATCCACGTTAACATAGAAGTCGAGGTTTCCCAGCAGAACGTCCTCCAGAGAGTCACACTGTCATCTACTCACCTGGAAGAAAGACAGAAAAGAAACTGATCGAACCAGGACACCTCCCTCTGTCGCGCTACCGTCCAGTTTCGGTGGTCGTCCTAGGAGGTTTTTGTGATGCACTTGCAGCATTTGTTCTGACTTTATTAAGGTTTGTGCTACTTTTGTTGTGTATCAGCGACTTCTGAACCAACACCTGCTGTTTTGGAGATGCTCCCAAGCCAGTTTTTCGGTCACAGATCCTCATTTTTCCTGCTTCCAACTCGATGCGATAAGATACCGTAAATTCCGGACTATGGAGGCACCTGAATATAAGCCGCACCTGCTAACTTTGAAAAGAAAACAAGATTTGTACATACACAGGCCGCACTTGTCTACAAGGTTCATAACATGAGATGTTTACACAGAAAGATTTTTTTAAACTTTTAATCAGATACGTACCGTAGATGCTTTTTTTCTGAGTGGTGCCTGTAACACGACTGGTTAAGAAAATAAAAACTACAGCAGCCTACCAGGAAAAGTCATTGATCGCTATCTTCAACTTGCTCCTGCACTAAAACCACTAAAGTCGTCTTCTTCAGTGTCGGACTTGAACAGCCTCAGAATTTCTTTGTCACTTCTTTAGTCTCTCTGTTGTTGTCGCTCTCAGTGTCACTTTGGTCTCGAGGCAAATTCGTAAAAATCCATAAATTATCTGCATCGTTGTTTAAGCCGCAGAGTTCAAAGCATGTGGAAAAAGTAGCAGCTTATAGTCCGGAATTTACAGTAATCCAGGTTTTCCCTTCACCCGTCAGCGGGTTTGACGTTGTGGCTGATGTCTGTGTGCAGCTCACACCTCCTGATCGCAACGTTGTGATGGTGCAACCTTCTCTCACGCTTTGCTCAATCTTCAGCTTGTTTTAAAATTTAAATTATGATCATTTCTCTGTGTGTTCCTTCGTTCCTTTTCCTAATGTCAGTCAGGAGCGTGCACTTATTTTGAAATGTCACCACCGCTTCCTGATGAAGCCGGAGTGAGATTTCAAAGTACTTGCGCTCTGAAGTGTGTTGATTTTCCGTCTGTCATGGTTGTGATCGTGTCCTGTGATCTCGCGGCAGCTCTACCTCTAGCTGGGACGTCCTGCCCAGTAACCGGCCCGCTCCGATGCCAAGGTTCAAGAATCATGACCTCCGACCCCCCACAGTTAGATCCCCTTTAACCTCCGGTTCGCCGTGACTCACCTTAACACCTCTTAGATCCTCCCGCTTAAAGAAATTCCTCAGCACTGTATGTCTGGAGTAGTTATGAAATTCCCCGAGAAAGTCTTTAACATCTGAATAATCCTTTAATCCCAGGTGTTTGTCAGCGAGGCTCATGTTCACTGGATGGTTCCGCTCCTTTTCAAAGCTGTAAATTTACTTTTAGTGCTGATATCTCCTGACAACGGATTCAGAATTTGATTTCATGACCGCAAAATGAGTTCTCCTTGTTTATGAGGAAGAGAGAAAAACTTGAATTTAAACTCTTTTGGAAAGAATTTATGATTCTAGAAAGCATCGAGGTGAAACTATAGAGAACTGAATCTGCACAGAAACTAAAAAATAATTTTAAAAACAGCAGAGAAAAGCCGTTTGGAACCTTCCTAACTTTGGCAAAGCCATCGAAAAACAGGTTTTAAGCTGGATACGGAGATTTGTGCTGCCGATTTAAAAGATCAGACTAATTACTTTCCTCGCTTTCTGGAAGAACTTTATTGGGTTTTTTTTGCTTGTTTTGGTCGACATAATCCTCTCTGCAGCTGAAATATTCCCAAAAAGCGGATTTATTTTTGCAGCCAGATCTTCTTTGTTTCGCTGCACATGTGGAGGCTGCATGTCGACAAACTCTGCGTCTTTTAAGATGCAAAAATTGGAGTAAAGGGTGTTTTATCAGGTAGTTCTGAGAAAGTTCTGCAAAGTTCTAGTGTTCTTATTGCCCATTACAATAAGCCTTTATTCATCCAACAGTGTGAAAATTTTCATCGTTGCATCAGCAAAAGGGAATCTGCAAACATTTAGGAAATGCCACCAGAAAAAGAAAAATATTTCTACAGAAAATATGGAGTTATTGCATTTATCAATTGTTCTGCACAGAAAATGTTCTTTCATGAGCAGAATTAAAGTTCTTTGTGAAGTTAGGGTAAAGTTCTTTTAAAAATGTTCTTAAAACATTTGCCAAACGTTGCATTCAGGGAACGTTCTCAACAGAAACATCATCAAAAAGGCAAAATGTTCCATCATCGTTAATAAATCACATTACAGGAACGTTTAACGAATAAATTCTGTCTTCTGAGGCATCCATAACATCTTGAGAACGTTTTCTGAATGTTGGTTTGAGAACGTTTTGTTATTATAATCTGACAACATCCTCCAAACGTCTTCTGAATGTTCAAACATTCACTCTTGGTTCAATTCTGAATATTCTTTAAACGTTTCTTGATCACTGGATTAAGATGTTTTGTTGTTTTTGTGAGCTGACGTTCTGGGTACGTTCTCTGCTCGCTGGGAGGCTTCCTTTATGGAAAACAAGAATTGCGTGAGCTCTATTTTGGAATTAGGCAGCAAAAACAGTCGTGTCCTGATGTATTTGAGTGCTGAAATGAGATGTTTTGCAGCATTTCCGCTTTAAAAAGGATATTTTTGAAAGTGCGATGTGGAAATCCAGTGGACATCCTCGTTAACGCGCCTCCTTGTTAGTTTATTTTAACCTCACTGTACTAATCTATCATCTTAATTCAGCATTACTACTCATTTCTAGTGATTAAAACACACTAAATTGGACTTCGGTGGGTGTTTCATGGTGTTTTGGAGCCTTGAACTCATCCTGAAGTGTTTTTTTTTTTTTTTTTAAACCAAACAGAGCCCTCTTCTGGATGATATAACAAACTACAACACACTGACAGTTGAGTTTTGCAGCAAACAGGACGCCTCAGTTTGGATAACTTCGACTTTTCTGGTGTTTCAGGGTAAAGGAGCCGGAAAAAGCACAAGAGAAGAAACAAGATGTGGCTCTGAACTCGACCTCGGAGCTGGAAAAGAAAGAAGAGCCGTCGCCTCAGACCGAACCTTAACCCAAGATCAGAGACCTTTCTTCTGATCCACAGAAAAAAGAAAAAAAATATCAGTTAGATAAAGCAACAAGAAAAAGCGCAGGACTCCCGGTTCATTACGTTCCTTCAGCTTCTTGGAGTAAATACATCACTTTGCTGGTTCGGGCTCCTTCCAGCCTGAAGAACTTGACAGACTCGTGTAAATAATCTGTACATACGTATTTTATTGTTCATCTGAAAGCACACTGCACTACATAACAGACTGGTGGATTAATAATCACTGATTTAGAATAGAGAATCCGGCGTTAAAGTCCACCTTTGATTTGTACATACAGATGCGTCTGAACTCATCAGGATGAGTTTTATTTATGTGCATTATTCTGATTATTCTGTGGATAAAGAGGATTTCAGCTGCTACACATCATCCGGTCGGACCGAGTTTTGTTGTCGTATCTAACTCGTCACATTAAAACACCTGAATGTCGCTTTTGTCTGTTTTGGGGTTTATTTTCTGGATCAAATGAGCAGAAATCAGCACCTAAATCTGCAAGTTTATTTTAAAAAAAAAAAAAAGTGTTTTTCCATCTTCTGCATCTTCTGCATCCGCAAGACGGAACAAAGTAAGAAGTTTGATGTTTGTAGCCGTGAGGATTTTTACAAACAAATTAAAGGCTGATAAACCCACAAATGGTTAAACAACAGCTTCCTGCAATAAACTGAGAAAACGTACATTTGAGACAGGAAACTGCTTGACTACCAGAGATCTTGTGACTCCAACAGTGGAGACGTCGTTTCTGAAGCTCCGTCTGATGAACAAAACAAATTCAAATACACATTTAAGACATATTTAAACACACAAGAGCTGTGAGAAGCAGCAGTGAAGGCAGCACCGGGACACAGAGAGCGTCTGAAAATACCTCTCTTGGGTATTTATAGCAGAAACTGCATCAGCTGTTCTCACTTTATAGTTAATGAGAACACTCCAGAACCATCCAGAGCTGCATTTTCTTAAGAATTAGGGACAATTTCGAGGATATGAATCCCTTCCAATGTGGAATTTGGAGTAAAAATCCATCCATTATCTATACA